TTGTGATAAAAAAATCACGGGCAACAGCCACAAAACAATCCACTAAGAAGATATAAAGAAATTACACAGGTATACTCTCAATTACCTAGCGAATCCACGCCCGAATTGAACCAACTCCTATGTGCCTCTTCCAGCCCCGTCTTCACCTCAGAATTGTTTTGACGATGAGCCACTCCAGAATCCACCAAAGCTTCAGGCTCAAATTCTTCAGAATCCACCGGAGAACAACTCTCTCTTTTGTATAGAATGAACAAACAAACCTTTGATGTATTCTTCTTAACCCATGAGTTGAATACTCAATTAAACATCAAAGAAAAATAGCAAAATATCCCCAGATATAAACCTTAATATCCAAAAAGAAGATCTGAAGAAGTAATCCTAAAATCTGACAGAAACACGTACTTATAGAAATTTAGGATTGCGAAGCTCGCTCGAGCGAGGAACCAAAAACGCGTGTTTTCCATAAGTGGCTTCGCTCGAGCCAAACAACCTGCGCTTGAGCGTAAAACCATCCTTCTCAGGTTTTTTATAGGCGCGACCTTCGCTCGAGCGAGAACTCCTTCGCTCGAGCGAGCAAGGGCGGATATGCAACTTCGAATGCAATTTTGCATTTTGCTTCGGGAGCGCTGCCCCTCGACCCTGCCTGGGCGCTGCTCCGGACCCGCCAAGGGTCGCTGCCCCCTGGACCCCCGCGAGCTGACCGGGCAGCTAGATCCCTGTCATAATCGGCGAAGTGGCAATCTTGAAAGTATTAACATCACAAACTTCTCTGCAAGGCACAATTCGGGATGGATTCGCATATAAAAACTCATAGCCTCACTAAAATAAAAAGTGCGAAAATAAGTACAACTGAAAGAAGTTTTGTTAAACGGGATTGCCAAAAATAAAAACCTAACACCTTTGGAATGAATCATAAATCTAAACATTTTAAGAAAAAAATCGAAAAAATTGCAAATCAATTTGATTCACACTAAATTGCACGATTTGATATTAATTTTCTGAATGCATGGTTTGATCTTGATTTTTATAATAGGCGACCTATATTTTATGGTTCAATCCATGGTTTATAATTATAGTTCTAGTTAAGAGCAAAATTGTACCATTTAGATATATATACATATTCATAAATTGCTATTTATTATAGACACTCAGGAGTCGTTTGGTTTTGGCTTTTTTAGTTGGCTTTTTGACTTTTTTGACTTTTTTAGTCTGGAACTTTTTTAGTTGTTTGGTATTCTTGTTTGGCTTTTTTGACTTTTTAGCTTTGGAATTACAAAATTGCCCTCTACTTAGAAATGATGCTTTTTTGACTTTTTGTTTGTATATGGGTTAATTTAGTAATTTTGTAACTTTTTTATCTTTTTGTGATTTTATAATTTTTTTTTTTTTTTTTTATTATAAAATAGCCAAAATGGTTTGCCAAACCAAGGCTCAAGTACTTTACTAATGTCTCATATATATTCATAAGTTGTTAAAACTCTACTCTAATAAATGTGCTATTATATAATTATATAATTAGTTCTAAACAATCTTTTAAATATTCTTGTTTGTACAATAATGCATATTACTTAATGTTTTAATATGCTACGGTAATATGGTAAACGATGACAATGTTTATAAAAATTTGTCATTTCAAATTAAATCGAACCACATTTTCATGGTTCAGTTTGGTTTTAAATTTTATGGAACCATAAGTAATAATTTGGTCTTAGTTTATTTTAAAATTGAACCAAATTAGATCATACTCATCCCTAATTTTAAGTTCAATTTCTCCTAATGTTACACTCATATTTGTTGCCGTATGTGATTTGCAAGTCACTATACGTATATGTAACATACCCTTATATTTAATTACTTTTAAAATATAATATTTAAATTGTTTTTTATTTAATCTAAATTACTCATAAATAAAATTTAAAATAATTATATGTACTAAAAAATACTTTACGAATTAATTTTCTTTTACTTTTTTCACTTTTATTCAAGTATTCAGTTTTTATATTAAAATTAAATATATTTCTTATTTTTTTGTCTATCATATTTATGTTTTATTATTAATTTATATTGAATTTCCTATTTAATATGAAGTTGTTTATTAAGAAAATTTTATATTTAATTTAAAATTTATATACATATATATAATTATACATAAAATGTATAAACAATTTTAAAATAGGTATTAACAAAAAATTAATACTTAACATAATTAATTTATATGTTTTATTAATTTAACTGTAACATACTTATATTTAATTTTTTGAAATAATTTTTTTTATAACTTCCATTCCTACTTTTTTTGTTTTTTTTGTTTTTTTGATTTCCAACTGAATAAAAATAAATAAATAATTAGAATCACTTTGAATTGTTTGTTAATATTTTTCTTCCCAATTCAACTATTATTATTAATGTCAAATTAAGTATTTATTTTACTATGTTATAATTTAATCATATAAAATTATTATATATTTATTTTAATTACACTTTTATAACACGATAGGATTAAGATTATTAAATAACACATAAATAATTTAATAGATCACGTCATTTATATATTATTACATTATTTCATGATAACAAAAATTAAGTGAAACATTATTCAAACCATTTTCCATGGGACCAAAAGGAAAAAAAAAACAAAAAACAAAACGGTGCCGCATTAGCTCGTAGCAGTTACTGTTGTGCTTAAAGCACAACGGCATCTCCTAACCCATTTGATCCCATATTGAGAAAGTTAATTGATTCTTGTGTAGACATATAATTTCGATCTCAGATGTATCTAGGTAAAAAAAAAAAAAGCTAGAAACTATCCCATCATATGTTTATTTTTGTTAAATTAATTAATAATTTCATTTTAGAAAAAAAAAATTTAATTTTTTTTTGAAAACTCAACCCATCCAATTCCTCCTAAGCTACGCTTGTTTTTGGTAATTAATCTTTTATTAATTAAAAAAAAAATTATATATGAAGAGAGATATACAAACCAACCTCCTCACCCCCCTAAACTCCAACTAATTGTTTCCTTACATTGAATCTATATGTTGTCCTAAAACAGCCCCCCTTTCCCGACAAGACACATGAATAAGAGGAAAGATCATATCTACAATGTCAAAATCAAAGAAATCTATATTGGAACTAGAAGCTTACATGGAGAGGCAGATTTCATAATAGTTTTAGAATAATGATTTTTTTGTTTTTTAATTTTTATTTTTACAAATAACATGACAATGGGAGTAAATTTTTTTTTTATACATAAAAGTGATAAATATTAATAATTAAAATTATAAAATTTTTCGTTAATTTGTATTTTTATTTATTTATTATCTAACACCTCTGTCAAGTAATTGTATTTTTTTAAGTTATTAAGAAATTATTTAGATATGAAGAAAAAGGAGAAATTATAATTCAGTGAAAGTTTGTAAGAAAAATTTCAAATTAATAGTATACTTCGTCAACTTTAATAATTAACGTCATAAATATTTTCATAAATTTGTAAATATTTTGAAAAGACATCACTAATTTACAATTTTTCTAAAAAAAAATACATCAAATTGTACAATCACAACCTCCAAATACTCCAACAATTAATCTTAACAGCCTCGTAATGAAAGTTTTTGGTTAAAGAATCAAAATCGACCATTTGTCACCGTAGAGTTTTATCAATATTTTAATTTAATCCAAACGAAGAAATTGATCACCAAAAATAAATGAAGAGACAGAATGAAAAATTGCTCTATAAATGTCTCTATTCTAAACTTCAATTACAAAATGTATAGAATTGGTACTTATTTTTAATAATCAAAATATAATAATATAAAAAATATAAATATAATTATATCGATTGGGACGATCAACATTAGTGTAAAATTTATACCAAAAAAAATATTGATCTAAGAATTTTCAAAATATGAAAATTCAACAAAAAAATTGAAACTTCAATTTGAATTTTCTTACATGTTCTTCCTATTCCGGAGATCCATCACAAAGAAAATAAAAATCAATATTTGACTTTGTTTAAGATGTGAGTTGACTTTTTAACTTTTTCACTATTTATTTAAGATGTGGATTAAAAAGTCTCTTTTGGGTTGGACTTTTTGATTTTTTTAACTTTTGTGAGAGATAGATGAAATGATTATTTTTTAGATATGACATTTTGTCTTATTGACTTTTTAATCTATTTTGGGTTGTTTGGATGATCTAAATAAGTGTACAATTTGTGTTTTTACGAAAAGTGTGTAAAAAAATAGAGAGATGATGTGATGAAAAAAAGATAAAAAAATAAAAAGTGTGTACTTATTTAGAATAGCCAAACTTAACCTTTATCTTTTTGCAACTATTTTAACTTTGTGGCTCCAAAAACTAACATGCCAAACGAGTGATTTGTTTTATCAAGTATCCAAAGGGAGTTATGAGAAAATAAAACACCTTTAAAAGTATAATACTGTCACATGAATCGTGAAATGACACTTCTTCTCATGAAAAAATTTACAAGTATTAATGTTCATATTTTAATTAACGTTCTTTTTGTTTGGGTGATAAATATTTACTAATGAAAAACATTTTTTATGTTTAGTGGTAGTGGTGATGAAATTAACGTGGAGGCGGAGGTGGTGGCATGATGGAAGAGTGATGGCGATGGTAATTGTGGTGATTGGTGGAGATGAGAGTGGTGGTAGTATTGTAATGACATTAGTAAAATTTTAATTAGAAAAATATTTTCTATTCAAATAGATTTATTTTAATTTTTTATTATGCCAAACAATAAAAAATAATTTTTAAAAAATATTTTCTGTACAACCCTACATAATTCTTGATCAAGATAATTTTCTAGAAATATGGGAAGCTTTTCTTGAAACATATTCTTTGAACCGCCCTTTCATTTAAAATTTCAAAATGATACAAACCAAGCACTGCCTATCTACTTTATAATAATCAAACGATTACTTAAAATAATTAATTAAAATTTTAAAATAATGAACCAAAAGTAGGTCTGCACCACTAAGAATTCAGAAATAGATCTATCATTAAAAAAAGTGAAACAGTTGACTTTCAGAGGATCACAAGAAGCCCTTCAACAAAAAGTAGTTGGGCTTTTTGAGCATGAAAAAGCTTTCACATGTGTAAGCACTCTATCATGCTCTACAAATCGATGGCCACGATTCCATCGATCAAAACCAGAAAACAAAAAAAAAAGCTAAAAATTATACAGAAACGTTGATAGCCGTTCGATTATTTGACTTTGAAAATTAAAAATCACAGTTTGCGAAACATAATTGTGGAAGTGTTTGGTTAAAATGACGGAACGACGCCGTATCCGATTGTGTCCGCCATGAAAGCGGATGAACCGGAGCTGAACATCCGGTTCATCACATCCACCTCCGGTTCAGCGTCTGTCCGCTTTGCGAACCGGCCTTTGATCCTAGGCCTAGTCTCGGCGTAGGCTTTTCTCGACGCGTATCGGATAGTCTTCTCAAACTTTCTGTTCTTTCTCTTCTCTCTGTACCTCAAAACTCTAGCTTCCCGGTCCAATCCCTGGACCGTTCCATTGTTCGGCAAAACGGAACCACCCACATCCACTTCGATTTTCCCAAAAGGATACGATATCTCTGACATGGAGCTCCCATCGGGCACAATTCCAACGTCCACGGACGACGAAGACATCTGAAATACCAAAATACCAATGAATTATATATGCAATTAGAAGATTGAATTGATCGTGCAGTGAAATTTAGATGAAGAAATCTGAAATATGAATGAATTATGGGATTGAATTCTATCAAGTTGGTCATCCAAGTTAAGAAGCATTTAATGGTGCTTACGCTTTGGCTAAAACATTGAGCTGTGTAGATATTGTTATTGTTGTTGTTGTTGTTGAATGAATTGAGCTTTGAGCTAGAGAAATCGATCTCCAGATAGTTGTTGTCTGTTGAATGATTCACCATTTGTAGAGATTTCGTGGGTTGAACTTGAACTGGGACTACACTATCAGTCCCAGAACTGTTAATTGAAATTGGGTGGTCAAAATCCAGAAATTGATCAGACTCAGACATCAAAAGCTCAATCGATTTCATCTCCGGCTCGTTGCCGGCGACTTTGGGGGTGGCTCCGATAGGAATCAGCCACGAAGGTGCGGTTGCGGCCGCGGCGGTGGTTTCGTGCTGGTGGTGGTCGGTGATTTCGTCTGCGGCGGCGGGGAAGAGGACTGTGGCGGAGGAGGCGGCGGAAGCGGTGGCGGAGTCGAAGAATGGAACCACCGGAAAACGCTCGTGGCGGCGGGAGAGGGGGTTGGCGGAGTGAATATCGCGGTCGCACGTGACACACAGCGCCGCCGCGTCGGCCTTGCACGTGACGCTCGCCGGAGCTTGCTCGCAAACCTCGCACATCCACACGCGCTCGTGCCGCGTGTGAGCCACGTCACATCCCATACACAGAAACACCGAGTCAACTCGGCAGAAGACCAGCGCCGCCGCAACCTTACACGAGTCACACGGCTTCGCCACTACACCCCACCAATTCCCACCACCACTCTCTTCCATTCTCTCTCTCGCTCTCTCTCTAATTTTTTTATTTATTTATATTCTCTCTCTCTTTCTCTCTCTTTCTCTAAATTATTTGATCCAATATCTCTGTCTCTGTTTCCATCTATATGGTTGTAATAATCTAGTTGTTGACAAATGCAAGGGGGACACGTGGAGGGAGTAATAGCCACGTAAAAGGGTTTATGACGTAATAAATTATAATAATATTTGGGTGTATTATTATTTGGATATTTTTTGTGTTATGTAGTTGTCAATATGTCTGTGCCGACGTAGGGCCCACTTGGAAGGAGGTGGATGAATTGACAGACTGTTTGATGAAATTTCCGTGAGACCATTTCCCATTTTATAAAATGGCGGGAAATGCTGGAGACCCCCAGCTCCAGGGCACCCCCACCCCCACCTCCACGTGGGGGCTGCTTGTGGCTGAAAATCAAAAACGGTAATGATACATCCCACTAAAAGTGGTGCTCTAAAGCACCACTAATGAGTTGACAAGCACTTTAACTAAATAAATAAATAAAAAACAAGACACAAGTAGTGGGTCCCGTCCACTGCCACATCACTAGTGGTACTTTTAGAACACCACTTTTAATGGTCTCAAACATTATTATTTTATAAAATATGGATTGTTGTTAAAGCGCGTCGCCTCTCTTCAGCTTAATTTAGTTCAGTTTGTAATTAGATTGAATTGTATTGTTGGATTCCGTCAATTTATTACAGAGTTTGTATTGATAATTTCAATCGTTCAATGTATGAAATTTATTAAGTATTTTATTTTTATAGAAAATTATATTGATTGGATATAAATAACTACTTAATAATATTTCTATCAGCGTTTAGTATGATTTAAAAAATATATGTATATGATCTGATCAAGTAGCAATTGATATTCGATCAATATGATTTTATGTAAGAATAAAATACATGATGAGCCTTACGCATTGAATCGTTCAGACCATCGATGTGAACTCTATGATAGACTCACAAAAGCTTAACAGTATAATCTAGTCCAAAATCAAATTAGAGACGATTCTTACCCTGGTTAAAAGGGTCACGAGTGGTTTAAAACCCTTTTTTAAGCTTGTCCAAAAGTTAACTTGGCCAAGTTATTTTCAATTCTTTCCTTTTTTTAAATAAAAAAAAAGAAAAAAGATATTACATATTTCTTCTTTTAATTCTTGTTATCAAATTTGATTTGATTTTATTTTTTAGTTATAGCTATTAATGCACAGTTCCAACAAAGCATCCGGAACCAGCAAATCATACAGGAAGCGGAGGCTGTTCTCATTTCAGAGTCTCCCACATTGCTTAAGTGGATAATCCTTTTGTTAGTTGACATTAAAAATTTTAAAGAAAAATGATCACGTCAGAACGATAAGAATGTTTTAAACGAATTAAATAAAAATTTATATGACAAAATAAAATTTTCACTTTACAACTTTCACTTAAATTTTGATAACACCTGTACTCCTTGAACTCCAAATTGTGATGAGTCAACTCAAAATTGTCGAGAGCATCAGAATTTCATTAGATTTATGGTAAGTTTGAGAAGTTTAAAAAATAGTAAAAAAAGTTAGAAAATTATTACAAAAATTAAAAAGTCAAATAATTATATAAAAAAATCAAAGATTTTTTTTTTCCTGCTTTCGTAAAAAAATTGAAAAAATTATTATAAACATATTAATTTTAGTCACTTTATATTTTAACCAAAAAAATTAAGAAATTATTAAAAAAACTTAATCCCAAACAAATAAAATGAGTCAACCCCGAAAGCAAATGAGTCAATTCAAACATGTAAAAATAGAAATTTGATAGTGGACTAACTATTTCAACAAGGAAAAAAATGTGTTAAATGCACTCTAATAACTTCCCATGGTCAATAGGATAGATGTCACGTGCTATTTATTTATTTATTTTTATTTTTATTATTGTAATTGAATTTAATAGTGAGATCCATTACATTTATATTAATAAGTGTTTAGGAAATAACAAGAGACATATATATTTGTAATTAGTAGAAAGTGTCGTTTGGTAGCATACAAAAATAGATTTTCCTGTGGTATGCACTCCTTAAAGGGTATTTATTGAGAGAGTAATTTATGTGAATAAATTGGGCCGAGCTAAGCTCATCATTCTTAGACATTTGGACCGAGCTATGGACCGGAGCTAGAACTACAATAGGCCGGTCCTGGGCCATCTAGGCACTAAGCCAGTTAAAGTTGCCTCCAGGGCCTTGACTACACTGTCGAGAGCTAAGTCCTGAGGCGGACCGAGGTGTTAACAAGGAAGAAGGCCGAGCTGAGTGTAACTCGGCATTGGGCCCTCTTGCAATGATGGTTACCATGGCTCTACCCAGAGTAGCACAGAGCCAAGGAAGCTCGGTTGACTGTAGTACCAACCGAGGTAAAAGGTCTAAGTATGCTCACTTAGTTTGCAGTATTAAGGATGTTCTGAGAATAAGCATTATCCTTAGGCATGCGACTCCCAGCGGGACTCTGCTAGAAAGAGTTAGAATCCTACTAGGATTGTGCAAGGCGAAATCTACAAAAGCTCATAACATGACCTACGCATAGATATTGCAATTTTTACTCTCGAATACGCAAAGCTCTTGTGTCTATTGTCTATTTGCTGACTTAGGCATCTAAGAGGTTTCCGGCACACACTCGCCGGCTAGTTCATCTTTGTGTTTTCCAGATAGCAAAGCGACGACGTTTGGAAGAGTTCAAACTTGATCAACAAGATTATACGAGAAGATTATTCTGTGCTCGTACACATACCATATGCATCCCTACCACAAAATGCGTAATTTTATTACAAAATTTTGTACTATTAATTACAAAATACATAATCTCGCCATAAATTAATATAACAAAAAATATTGTAACCAAACCATAAGCTTTTGCAATATCAACTACAAAATTTTAAAAATTTCGTTACGCTAGTTAGTGGTGGTAATTGATGTTACAAAATTTTATGCTAAATTACACATTTTGTAGTATGATGTATATGGTTTGCATTCCTAAAGGGGTACACACCTAGCATTTTTCAACAAAAATTTCTTGTTAGTAGGTGCTTGGGGGTTACAAGTACGAGATTTGTAAAAATCTAAGAAGAAATTAGGGATTAAATGTGATTCCCTACAAGTAGGGGTGTAAAATCAGTCCATCGGCCTGTAGTCCAACCAAAATGAGCTTGGACCCGAGCGTAGCTCGAGACCCTAGGCTTGAGTCTAGGCCATCTATTTTGTGGCCCGACCTAGCCTGTGAGCCCAGCCCACTAGGTTGGGCCTGAGCTCGGCCCATTGGCCCAATTAAGGCTCACTCCAAGAATTGGCCTACTTGATCCGCTGAATCCCACTCTCATTTCCAAGCTATTTTGGTGGGAGAAAAATAAAATTTTGGTGAACTTTCACGTTCTTTATTTAAGAGCTTTCAATATTTTAATCTAGGTAATGCTAGAAATACTAAATCTTTTCCTAAATGAATGACCAAATGTCTCACATGAGTACTGTTGGAACAATTCGTCTTGAATTCTTCAGTTGGTGGTCTTCGAGTCTTTAAAATTTGGCAATGATTGTGTCTATGTAGAACATATATTTAATGCTTCAAGTCGCGTTACTTAGACGCTTTCCTAAAGACAATATTTGTACCCACCAGAAGGTGTGCATGGGGTTACAACAAATTTGTCTCCAAGATACAATGAAGCCTGATCTAAGGATGACGACAGTAGATCAGAATACTCTTAATACAATCAAGAAAACCTAGACACTGATAATCAAATCTGCAGAACTTGATTACCAATAAGAAAAGCAAAAATTTATTTAAGAAACTCTTGATTGAAAACTCAAAATCAAGAGGGAAAGATAGAGAGAATTGCAGGAATGAATTCTAAATTTTTTGGATGGAATGAAATGGCTAATTTCATAGCCTATTTATAGGCATTGATGCACCTGATCGAATGGTCATGTCCCTTGATCGCATCTGATCAGATCTGACCGTTGGATCGACGATCTATGGTGCAGATCATTCTCACACCGAATAGATGCCTTGACTAATCACACCTGATCACGATCGGGTGCCATCTCATCTGTATGATCGCGTGCATCTCCAATTAACATCTATGATTAACTCGCTTTAGATTGGACACATAACCGTTTGATCGGTTGGTTGACTCATCGCCAACGGATGACGTGCAAAGTGCAAAGTGCGCCATCAAACACCACACAGCCCATTGCCTATGCCACGCGCGTGCGTGCGCGCGTGTGTGTGCGGATGGTGCGAAGCACACCATCCTTGCGATGTGGATGCATGCACAGTAGCTTTCACCTCACAATTCCATATTCAAAGAAATATTCCATGTAGCACTTTATTAAGTGTTCCATGTTTTCCTCTCTTTCCGATGTAGGACAAAGCCCCAAGATTATTTCATGTTTTCCAAAGAAAAACATGGAAGGTTTTGAAAATATCCAAAAATAAACTATAAATTTGAAAACCCATTTTGATAACAAAAATGTTTCAGACCCTCATTGGGGGTGACCCCAGGACCCCCAATGGGGTTTGATTGGCCAGGAATTTTTTTTATTTTTATTTTTTTTTCTTCTTCCAATAACCAACCCCCACGTGTGTGTGGGAATAGTGGGGGTGGGGGGAAAGTGGGGGTCTCAATCACATTTGTTTTGAAAATTTCCCAACAAGTACTCCACACCCATGTAAAACAATTGATCATTCATTTGATAAAAAATTTGAAATTGATAATATTTTCCTTTTAATCCAACTCTTTCGAGCGTTTATTCTATTAAATACCTTGTACATTTAATTCTTCAAATTACTTTTGTGTGATAGTTGTGAAACTTTTAAGATTCATTGGTTGAGTTTTTTAAAAGAAAGAATCTGAGCAAAGTAATTTGTTTCAGTGCTCAGTATTTGGAAGATTCTTTTTAAATATTTTTTTAGACAAAATCACTTGGTGCAAAGGTTGTTACACTTGGAAGCTAGTGATTGTAAAACTATTTAAAAAATAAAAAATAATACATAAATTTATTTTTTAGACCCATTTTATAGAGTTAAAGATTAGAGA